CCTAAATTAATCACCTTCCCCGTCTTCTCCCCTAATTCCCGCCCCAGGCCTAGTGTGCTGGACCAAGGGGAAGCACCCATGTGAGAGATCATTTATGCAACCTATTCACATTCCCTGACGATGCTGAGGTGCACCAGGTCTTGTGCTGGGTGCTGGGGTGGGGCTGAGGGCAGCAAGGATATGGTCTCAGTTCTCAGGGGTTTCCCAGTCCACTGGGAGACAGAGGAGTCCAGTCACCTACTAATTACCTTGGCCTTTTCATCCCCTGCAGCTAGTCGAAAAGAGGGGTAACTAACTCTGATTCAGGGCAGTGGTGGTGGGAGAGCAAGTTTTGAGGGTGGGTGTGGTGTGCTGAGGTTTGACAAAGGAAGTGACATTTGGGCCCGAGTGATATTGACCAGGTCAAGGAGAAAGTGTATTCTGGGGAAAGGGACTAGCATGCCCCAGGATACAGCAGGTCAGAGAACAGAGTGTGTTCAGTGAGCAGTGAAGGACGCAGGGAATGATGAATTGGGAGGTAAGGCTGGTGAGGTCAAGCGGGCCCAGTAGGAGTTTAGGCTTATCTTGAGGCTTCGGAGATCATTTTAGGGAGCTGGGTTTTGTTTGAAAGAGAGGACGCAGGTGCTGCACGTGGGTTGGCTGGAGGGAGAGCAGTGGAGGCAGGAGTATCCGTGCGTAGTGTTTACCCGGTGATCACCCAAGGTGCTGAGTGCTATGACAGAGAAAGGGAAAGTCTGGGCAACAGAGCGGAAACCCTGTCTCAACCAAGAGCATTCTTGAATCAATGAAATCAGTATTGAAATCAGTATTGAAGGATGAGTAGGAATTACCCAGACAAAGGGGGAACTGGAATGGGGAGCGAGGCATTCCAGGCAAGGAAGGGCATGGGCAAGGCCCAGAGGTGAGAGTGAGAGCATGGCTGATAAATGGAAGTGCAAATGGTTCAGTCTGATGGGAAGCTGCATATGGCTGAGGGCGGAGGAGAGATGAGGACAGAGCAGATTGGGCCACATGGTGGAAAGTGGTAAAGGGCAAGCTGAGAAGCTTGAGCTTTGAGCAGAAAATCTTCTGTCTTCGTTCACCCCTCCAGAACCACTCTACCCACATCCACCCAGCTCCTTCCTGAGAGACTTACCTGCGTGGACTGCAACCACAGGCCCTCAGACCTTCTAACTTCTTATTAGGTTCAGGCAATAGGGAGCCCTGGCAGGAGATGGAGGGAGGGGTGTGAGGTGGGAATGCTCACCTGGCTCCTTCCTTGCAACGATGGCCCCTGCCCACGACTCTCCTGGTTTAGGTAACTTCTGCCTCCACTTGTCCTTCCAGGCCTCAGGGTGGTAGCAGCAGTCTGCACCATGGCCACAGCCCAGCCGTGGCTTACTGCTTACTGGTTTACTGACTTACTGTTCTGTGTGGTTTTCCAACACTACACACACTTCAGAAAATTGTTCTTTTATTAAACCCTTCTCAAATTATCCTTATTTTCGTATGTCATCTGGTCCCTGCTGGAATCCAGGCAGATACAAACTCTAGGAGCAATGGAAAGCCATAGAGGGGATTCTGAGTATGGTTGACCTGGATTTGCGATTTTGACAGCTCACTGCGGCTGTGCACGAAGGATGGAGTTAGGAGAGCGAGATGGGGATGGAAAGTGATGCAGAGGCAGAGTTGGGGCCCCAGGGGTAAACTGCGGCTTTTGTCATTGTCACACAGGAAATTCCTAGGTATGTGAGGGAGGGGCAGGTCTGCTGCAGACTTTCATTTATAACTTTTTGATAGATTGTTTGTAAAAATGGTCACACGAATCTTTCCAGGTGTCTCCAGCCTTTTGTATTGTGACATTGTTGCTCTTCCCAGGCATAGGTAGAGTCTATTTCTCTCCCCTTGAATCTGGTCAGGACTCATGACTTGTTTTGACAGACAGAAAGCAGTGGAAGTGATACCATGAAAGTTGTGAAGCCTAGGACTTAAGAAAACTTGCAGCCTTGCTCTCATTCTTTCAAAATCCAGCCATCACTGTATGCTAAAAGACCGGTCAATAAGAGAGGGACTCAGTGCCCGCCTACATAGAGAGGCCCAGCAGTTCTAGCTCTCCAGCTTTTCCATCCCCAGGCAACCCATCCATTGAAAGCCCAAGCAAGACAGAGAAGAACCACCTAGCCAACACACAGAATTGTGGGAAATAGTAAGTCCTTACCATCTTCAACCATTACATTTTGGAGTGATTCATCACACAGCAAGAGATAACTACAATGGGCAGGTACTTTTCTCCTTTGCAAGTCTGTCCTTCCCCAGGGCCCTGCCCACCTGCTCGGTCCTCCAAGTCTTCCCCTGTCTGGAGATCGACACTCCCTCCTCTGAACTCTACTGTTCTTCATCCCAATTCTCTTGCGACCCAGATAGCACACTGCCTCATCTCCATGAAACACTGAGTACATTCATCACCCGACTCCTAGTTTACATGTCATCCACGTCATTCCGGACAGAATGTGGAGTGGCTTAAAATTGCAAGATACCGTATGATGGTCATAACACTGGAGGTGGATATTGTCATCCTTATTTCTCAGATGACAAAAACCGAGGTTTGAAGGTGATGTGACTGGCCCAGGGTTACTGAAAAGTCGTGGGCTAAGATTGGAATCCAAACATACACTTCTCAAATGCCTCCCACGTTGCAGTTGTTGGTATGACCTGCTCCTAGAGGGAAAGGACGCTGCTTCCCTCCCTGAGAGTGAGCAGCATTCACAGGTTCTGGTCCTACCCAGCACCCTGTCCCCTCACACATATACCAAACCCAGGAATCCAGAATTATTCTGTCAGGGCACCTGTCCCCGTCTTACTCACCTGGGAGACACATACAAATATGCACTCCTCACATCTAGGTTTCATTCTCTGTGCTGGTCTATCCTGAGTCTTTGTTGTTGTTAATCTTAAGGTCAGTTTATTAAGTTCAATGATGAAAGCTTTCAGAAAAATATTCTCCTAAAAATTATTTTTTCTCAGGAAAAAAGAAAGGAAAACCAACACCCTCTCAGCATAGCCACAGATACTGTGGCAGTCAAGCCTCTCTGCGGATGGGGATAGTCCATTAAATGGTCAAGTCACTCTCTGGATCAACAAGATTATAGTCTGGATCATCCCCAACTTCCTCCAACTCCAAGTCATCTATTTCCCGGAACAAAGACTCGTCGACCTCCTCATTGGTTCCAGCACCCTCCAAATACTAGATATCAAATGAGTCGAGATTATGATCCATTTCAGATAGCCGTTTTCCACTTAATTTATTTTTTCCTGCTTGTTCTTCTTTCATTTGTTTCTTTTTTAATTTCCAAGAGTTCTGCATCAGCCTTGGCCTTCCGACTTAAGAAATTCTCAATTGTAATAGCAATGCCATGAAATAATTGATTTTCAGCTTCTTCTGTTTCTTTTTCTTTTTGTTTCTTTTCTTCTCTTCTAGTTTTTATCTGATCTACTATTCTATTTATTTATTTTTTGTACGAATGTCTCTAAAGCAAAGATCATTACCATACCAAGATTTTCTTCTGCTGTAATGCTAATAATTTTAAAATGCCTGAAACATCATTAACTTCTAGATTTTTCCTCAGAGAATATTTCATAAAAAGGGGCTTCATCTGGGTATTTTTCATCATATGTAAACTTGAGTGTAGCCTGGACAAGTTAATCATTTTCTCCAGCCTTAGATGTCACAGTAATGATGAAGCTGGTTGGATTTTCTGATAATACCAGTTAATGACACTCTCAAACCCCTCTTCATTCATCGCCTTTATAGCCTCACAGTACAGCTGTACTGCTGGAGAGAGAGGACATGAACAGGACTAAAGCTATGCAGGTGTAGCTGAGAGACATCTGCCTGTGAAGGAGTCGGGGTAGATGGACTCCAGAGCCTCCAGCTCGTTGCGCTGCTTCTTGCCATAATCTGTCGTTGTGGCTTTGTTGCTGCCGTTGGATCGCCCAGACCCCCAGGCGGTGCGCTGCAGCAGGGACTGCAGCCGCACCGGGACAGTGGGCAGTGGCCTCGCACTGTGTCTTAACATACTCTTTCCTTCCCTCTTCTTTCCAAAAACAACAGGGCCCAAGGTGGTAAGCTTCGTGTTGATGGGTCAAGAAAGAAGAGCCAACATGGCCTTCTCTAGCCCAATATGATCCACCTTCTGGGAAGATGAGACAAGGCTGTAGGGCCACAGGGCCAGGCTGGTGGTCAGAGGAGAGGTTTTGACCAGCCTTTTCAGTTGCAGGGTGGGGAGAAAGAGAAGAAGGCTAAAGTAGAATCCTTTCATTTATTGAATTGACATTTATGGAGCCTTCCCACTTTTTGTGCAAAGGTCAAGTGCTGAAATTACAAAGTTCAAATATGAGGTGTCTCGTGGAGCTCTCAGCCTATGCGATGTCAGAGCTGAGACTCAGAGATCATCTTAGTCAGAGAAACTGAGACTCAGAGGGAGCATGAAAAGACCTGCCCATACAGCCAGTGACAGAGTACATTTCTCCTTATCCACCTTTTGGACCCTTCTGGCTGCAACTCCATAGCTCAGGGGATCCCCAAACTCAAAGGTGCCTAGGGTAATTGCAGGGGCTTCATGGCCACCCCTTTCTCTCCAGATCAGGGAAGGAGGAGCTGGGACACCCAGGGTGCGGGATGAGAGAGCTAGTAGGAGAAGAGGCTGAAGCTGGTGGCTTCTTTTGTGCCGTCACTCAAGGTAGTGAGTGAGATTACAACAGAGGACAGAGACTTCAAAAATCATTCTCTTCCAGCCCTTTCTCCCATTTCACAGGTGAGCAGACCAAGGAGAGGAAAATTTGCAGAGGTTTTGCACAGGAGTAAAAATCACCAATGCTGGAGTCTAGTTTCCCCTCTCACACTGCCAGTTGTGACTTGGGATTTGATTTGCAGGAGTCTGGGAAGGCTTTGAAGATATTTTCAACAGACTCCTCTACGAAGCCTTCTCAGATCACAGCACCTACCACTGGGCTCCCTAATGCTAGCCCTGCCCTTTGGGGCAGCCCCTCCTCTGGGGAGGTGCTTCGCAGAACTCCAAGTGTTGGTCCATGGGGACATTGTACTTGAGCTTGTGGGCTTCGAAGAGGTTACACAGCTCCTTGATGTAGTGATGGTGCAGCTTGTCTACCTCCTCCTGTGAGGGATTCGGTATCTTCTCCACCTGGATGGGCTTTCCCACTGCAAACACAGAGGTGGGCAGTAGCTCAGAGTAGGGGCCCTTGGGGCAGGTGCCCACCCCTGTGGTCATCCCTGCAGGAAAGTGTTCTTACCGCCATCCCTTTCAACCCTATTTCAGGTGATGGGTTATAAGATATTAAAGAAACTCCAAGATTCAGATATAATAGCAACACCACCAGCTAGCATTGCAATGTGCCAGGAAATGTGCCAGATGCTTTACATAAAGGAGATTACATCTCTTTAATCCTCATAATAATCCTCTGGGGATCAAACCTGTATTATTCCCATTGACAGGTAAGGCAATGAGGCTTAGAGAGGTTAAGTAATTCGTTCAAGGTCAAATAGCCGAGAAGAATCAGTGTCAGGTTTTAAAAACGGGGGATGTCTTCTTAACCTCCAGGACATATGGTTCTGGGAATCTAAGCTGCCATGATTAGAAGCACACATATTTCTAGGATGAGGTGGGCCTGCAGCCCAGGCAGCTCTTCTTCCCTCTTCTCCCTCCATGCACTGCCCCCTTCATTCTAGGGAGGAGTCAGGAAGGCCCTAACTGATCTCCTTCCTCTTGGTCTGCCTGGCTGAGAAAGCACCTCTCCCACCTTCTCTTGGGAATAGCTCTGGAGGCAGCAGCAATATTAACCTTCATGAAAGGTTGCCACACAGCACAGGAAAGTCATGGTGTAGGGTGGGTCACTAAGTCTGTGCTCGGCTAACAAACGGGTGGCTAGAGATGAATGGACCTCTCTACAGGCTTTGCCAGAGGAACCTAGTTGGAATCCAGGAAGAGAGCAAACAAAGTTTCCAAATAGCTGAAAAAGATGACATTAAGTCCATACACTAAAGCTCACGCCCATTATTTACAGGAAATAAACCCCAACTCCGCTCTAGTGATTGCTACTTTACACACAATTCTAACATACTTGGAATGCCCTTCCCTTATATCCACATTCTCCAATGAGCCTTATTGGATCCTCCTGGTCAGAATTAGACCCTCTTTCTCTGGTATAATAAAAAGTTGAATAGATCCTCATTCAAACCTCAACTTTGTTACTCAAAGACAGTGTGCTTTTTTCATTTTGAAAGTTTCTTAACTTCTCTGAGCTTCGGTTTCTAACCAATGAAATAGGGATCATAGTCCTTACCTTGAAGGTTGTCAGGACAAACCAAGATGCTGCATGCAAGGGAGCCAATGCAGTGCCTGGTACATAGCAGGAGCTCAGTAATCAGTAGCAACCATAGTTCTTTGTGCCTCTGTTACAGTTCTCATCCCAGACCATCTCGTATTGGGGTTATCTGCTTATGCAACTGTTTCTCAGTCTAGAATGTGAGCTCCGTGAGGGCAAGGAAGTGTCTGGCCCATTCCATGTCCCCTTGCAGCACTCAGCCCAGGCCCCTTTCCCTGTAGCCTACCCGCCCCCAGCCTGGATCTTGGCTTACCCACAGTGGTGATAGGCTGGAGGTGGGGTAAAAGACCAAAGCTGTACTGAAAGATGCCACGGCCATGAAAGAGTGGGAGGGAGACACTCGTGACTTTCTGTAGCCAGTTCTGGATCCGGCACAAGGAGCCAGGAGAGTTCTCGATTTGGTCAAAGAGGCCATTCTCCCCAAAGGAGAATATTGATACCAGAGCTGCGCCAGAGGGAGACAGATAAAAGAAGGCATGTGGGAGGCCCTCAGCTGAGCACCTAGCTTCTGGCAAGGACCCAGTGACCAGGAATTAGAGCAGAAGACAGAGCCCTGGGCCAGAAGCAGGAGACCTGAGTTGTTTCTCAGATCTGCCATAGCTTGCTTTCTGACCTTGAGCACGTCCTGGCCCTGCTCAGGACCACGATCTCCCAGTTACACCATGACAGATAGACCAGAATGCTTCAGAGAGTCCTCTCAGATAGAAAACACCTGCTAACATTACAGAACAATCTCTCCTGCCCCAGTTAGCTTGTATTCTTCAAAGATACTTCGAGTTCAGAGAACAGCTCTGCAATATGCCTCAAACTCCATTATCCCAGATCCCACAGGTCTCAGATCCAGTGTCAGCTTTGGGCAATATATCCCTTCCCATCTAGTCCCTTTGATCACCACGTCTCCCCTCTGCAATCTCTCTTGGGTATTTGGGCATGAGATAGTACATTGCTCTCCAAAATATCGTTGGTATTGTGAATGGACTGAGGATCTCTCTGCCAAAATAGAATCTCCATTAGTCTTGCTGTCTTCCTACCAAAATACAATTCTTGCCAATCTCCAGGTGAACCCAGAGCCTTCTTCCCAGATACCCATGCATCAGGGCGAGCCTGATGAAGCCCTTGCAGTTCCCGCAGCAGCAGTGTGCAGGTGCCAGGCCTGGTATTGAGTGCCTCCTGGACGCCCCCTACAATGACACCCAGCAGGTTGCCACCATCCTTCCTGTTCAGAATGTGAGCAGCGCTCTCCTTGTCCGATGTGACCAGCCCTGGGGAGAGAAGATGATGGTCATGTATGAGGCGAAGTGGCAGGGACTGTGGGGGTAGATGTGGCTCAAGAAAGAGATCACCAAAAGTGCCCACAGAGGCCTGGGTCCCCTACTCCTCCCACTCTAGCTGAGAGTTCCCTGAGGACTGGGAACTCCTTAACCCCATCACTGAGCTCATTGTCCCACTTGGTGCTGTGGGAAGTGCTTCCTTGGGTCTAGCCTCCTTCTGCCGCTACACATGCTCTTGGAAGAAATACACAACTATTGGCAGCCCTCGCTAAGATCCCTCCTCCATGCCTGCAGTCTCGTCTTCCTAAGCTACCCAAGTGGGGAAGACTCACACTCTGACATGAGCTAATCCCTGAAGAAAGGAGCCCGGAACCACAGGGGCAGCTTCATCAGGTGGGGGCAGATGCTGGGGAAGAGCTCAGGGAAGCCCGTGCTCTCAGTGCACAGATCGACAAAGGCTCTGGTGGCCAGAACCCTGAGGGAGTGAAAGCCAGCAAAGTAGTTCCGGGAGGGGTCCGGCTGCAGTCTTGACCAGCTGCAAGGACAGCAACCTAGTGAGCCAGAGCCGGATCTGCATGTGCAGCCTGACTCTGCCTCTCTCCAGTGTGACCTCGGGCAAGTCATTCTCCCTCTCTGAGCCTCAGTTTTCATGAAGATTGAGATATAGTGGGTGAATGCACCTGGTGATACCATGGTGCTGGCTGCGTCTCAGACTCACTGCTAGCTTTGGGCAAATTGCTTCCCTCCTAGGCTCTTCACCTGTAAAATAGGGACATTTGGCCCTGTCCCGCCTACCTCCCGGAACTGCCAAGAAGCTTAGTTCTGAGGGTGCCCTGGAATTACGAAGACTACGATATGGCAGGATGTAATTTGAAGGCATCAAAAGGCCACACAGGGACACCACCATAGAAGAGCCCGGTTTTACAAAACTCAATATAAAAATTGGCACAGGGAGTGAGCATTTGCAAGATATATCGGGAGTGGATTCCTCTTATGTTGAAAGAGCACGCAGACCAGTAGGCTAACCCTAGTCCTATTTACCTCTGTACAACACAAGTGTCTCCCCAGCAGCTCTCTGCTCCCCTTGCACCAGACTTTCCTTGCCTTTTGCTCACTCTTCCCCCAGCCATAGGCAGCGTTGCTGACACAGCATTTTGCCTGGGTCAAGTCAGGACTTCAGCGTGGAGGGTGTAGCAGGGACCACCATACACTGTACACTGAGTGGGAGAGGAGAGCCGTTCATCATTAGCAGTTTCCAGGTGAAGCTGGGTGAGTGGAGGGGGCAGGAACCGAGTTAACAAATTCTGTTCCCAGCCAGTTACTGAACAGGCTGCAATGTGGCCGAGTCTGCAAAGATTATTGCCATGGGCAGTGATTGCATATGTGGGGGCGGGGGGTAACCAATCCATTCTCCACCCTGTCAGGAACCCCAGTGCAGCCCACCCTTTACAGTGCTCTGCACTCTGGGAGCCACAGCCATTAGAGTTTGAAGGCCCCTGAGGCCCCAAGCCCCTGGCAGGAGGCTTTCCCTGATAGGATTGCCCAGGCCCAGGCAATTTGCACTCCTAATTGGGGGGCAGGCGGTAGCCATTTCCACTCTGGCTCAGCTTTTTGAGGGTGAAAGTTCATCCTATCATCAAGCTGAAACATCCAGTGGGTGACTCCCTGAGGATACTTGTTGCTGCCTTTGAGGCCCCAGAGACCTGGCCGCCCACCCTTAGAGCATCCTGGAAGGATGTGGGCAACAGCAATGGAGATCTGAGCCTGTCTGTCTCATCCAGCTTCTCTTGTCCTTGACCTGGACTTGGTCTCTGCAATCTACTCCCCTACCCAGTATGCCCTCCGATAAACCATCGACACTTTGCAGAAAGGCTGCAGGGACCATTGCCTCCCAGACAGGGACAAACCTCCTCCATTTATGCAATAGGGATTTATTGGACATGAAAACAAAGACAGAGATATAATATAACCAGAAATTTCTCACCAGCTCACTGGGAAAGCTGCTTCCTCAGGAACCCATTTGTTGGTGTTTCTTTAAAAACATACCTGGCTCCCTGCACTAAAGCACTGGCTTATAAATTCTCTTTTATTACCAAGTGAGAAAGGTAATTTTGTACAACCTCCATAAAGGTGATTTGTCAATACAACCCAAATATGTAATTCACCTTTCAGCCCAGCAACTGCACGGCTGAGGAATTTAGCTACAGAATTTCTCGTATTTGTGCAAAACAAGATTATTAACTGAAGCATTATTTTTTAGTAATAGCAAAAATTTGGCACCTACTCAAACATCCATCAACAAGGCCTGTTTAGAAAAATTATGAAACATTTACATAACGGACCACTATGCAGCCATAGAAAAGTGTGACAGCTCTTCTTGTCCTGAGAAGGAAAGATGGCCACAGTGGTTTGTCAGGTGAAACAGCAAGGGGCAAGACGATGTGTGCAGAATGTCACCGACTGCGTCAGGAAAAGTAGGGGAACATACATGTGCTGGTATGTACATGCACCAAACACTGGTTGCCTCTCATAGTTGCCTCTGGGGAAGGAAATGGGGAGATGGGATATGAAGTGGGACAGGACTTTTCACTACATATCTTTTTGTCCCTTTCACATTTGGAAAAAGAATGCATTACCTATTTTAAATGAATAATGAATTAATAAATAAATGAAATAAATAAAATAATAAACAAATGAAAAAATGATTATTCCCCGAGTAAAGAAGTCTTTGTGTGTGGAGAGCTATCCTGGTGAGTGTAAGGGCCTGTGTCTAGGCAAGTGCGTCAATATTTGCATGTGCATGTTCAAGTGTGTACACTGATGAGGCCATTGCTATCCCACGGAGGCCTGGTCCGCATCTCTCCTGCTCACTTTCTGGGCGAACCTCTTCCATCTGCCCCCCTGTGCCCAAGCGACATCCCACCATCACGGTGACAGCCTTGAGATTACAGGCCACCTGGTGGTGGCATCTCTGTGTCCTCAGTGCAGGCCTGGAACAGAAGAGATGCTCCCTGAGAGACTGTGGAATGAAGGAAGGAAAGAATGAACCATGAATGGATGAAGCTGAAGCAGCTGGCCTTGGAAGAAAGGGCTCCTGCCCCTGTCCCTGTCCTGACATGGCACTTGGGTTTCACTGAGCTGCGAGTCAAGAAACCTAGGTTCTGCTGTTGGCCCATCACCTGACCTTTGCCCTCTTTTTGCCTCAGCTTCCCCTCTATCCCACAGGACAATGATAACATCTCCCTCACAGGGTCATTACTGGTTTCAGGTGAGGTACACCTAGAAGGAAAAGGTTTGTAAACTCCTGTGCTCTCTGCTTGCTCCTTCAGTTCTCTTAGGGGAGGGGAGTGTGACTAAGCAACAACAGATATCTGGGGAAAGCCCCTTCTGGGTAACTGTCATGGCAGGCTGGGCATGGCACCAGGTAGAGGCAACCGGGGAAGAGAATGGTCAGGTTGCTAGGCAATGGTGGTTGCTATTTTTAAAATTTATATAATTCATACCCCCATCAAATTCACCTTTTTAAAGTGTGCAATTTAGTGATTTTAGTATATTTCGAAGGCATGCAACCATCCCCACTATGTAACTCCAGAGCATTTTCAACATCCTTCAAAGAAATCCATACCCATTAGCAGTCACTCTTCTTTCCTCCTGTCCCGGCAACCACTAATTTATTTTCTGTCTCAATGGATTTGCCTATTCTGGACATTTCATAAAAATGGAATCATATAATATGTGGCTTTTGTGTTGCCTTCTTTTACTTCACAGACTGTTTTCAAGGTTCATCTATGTCGAAGCAAGTATTGATACTTTACTCCTTTTTATTACTGTATACTATTCCATTGTATGAATAGACCACATTTTGTTTGCCCATTTAATGGCCTTTGGCCATGGCAGGTAATGTGGCCATGAATACTCTGTACAAGTCTTTATGCAAACATGTTTTCAGTTCTCCCAGGGTCATTTCTACCTTGAACCCCAAGACTCTTGCTAGAAGATCACAGCCCTACACAGACTCTCTAGGAGAGGACATCTCAACCTTGGATGGGAGCAAGGACAGTGAGGGGCTGTGGCTCTCCCATGTCTACCCAGTCCCATCTTTTGACAAATTCTCTTGTGCCCTCACATCCTTGGGGCAACCCAAATGCCTCAAGAGCCCACTGTCCTGATGGCTCTTTTATGGGTCATGAAGCACCCACACCGCTGGCCTCTTTAACCATGGTTGTAGGGAAGCCAGTTGCAGGGCAAGAGCCTCCATTGGACAGTGAAGGAAACTGAGATGCAGAGGGGTAAGTGACCTGCCCACAGGCACACAGATGACCGCGTCTGGGTTCCGCTGTCTCCTGCAGAGAGCACCCAAGAGAGCCAGGAAGCCTTTGCCCCAGGCCCGAGGAAATAGCCTGAGACTCAGGACTGTCTCGAGGACCTTCTCCTTTCTGGTCTTGGAAGGTCCAGGGCACTCAGGAGTCCACTCCAAGACAGAGGTTCTGCATCAGCAGCTTAGCCTTGGATAACCTATTCCCGGCCTATTAATGTACCTTGATAACTCAGTAGGTTAAAAATGCAGAGCAAGCAAGGTTTGATTTGAAAGGTCTGATGTGTGATAAATTTCCTAGGGGAATCTGATATATATCAAAGTTTGAGAATCCCCACTCTAAATCAAAAGAGTCCTCTTCCAGGTTCAGGTAGTTGGTTGTGTGTGTGTGTGTGGACTGGAATCCTTTCCTGATTCATCCTATCATGGTCGGATAGAATGAAAGGCTTGGATAGTCTCCCTGGCCCCAGCAGTGACTCAACATAGCTTAAGTCGGGGCTTCGGCCACCCCAGGCTTCTCCATTGGTAAGTTCTCAGTTCTGTCCTCTCGCCCTTCAACAGTCATGTGCTCAGTTAATAGACACTCACTGGCAACTACAGACCTATTCCCTCAATTCTAAGACGCACCTTTTTTTCACATCTTAAACATTTTGTTATCAAAATACAACTGACAATTCTAATTGGAAGAATTTTTTCTTAGCAGTACTTAAAAAACTGGTATGTTTTACCACTGAGGCTATCTTAGAATTGAAGAAGTATATTATGTGCCAGGCACCGAGAGCTGGGAACAGTGCACAAGGTGGGGAATTCCCAGCATCTATTGTGTGCCACGCACTTGCGACACCAATGCGCTTCATCCTCTATTAACCCTGGGAAGGAAGTACTGGCACCAATGCCCTCATTTTACAGACGAGGAAACTGAGACACAGGTTAATTAGCTTAGTCTAGATCACATAGCTAGTAAAGTGGCAGAGGCAAGTTAACACAGGCAACATAGCTGCAAGTGTGTGACTAGTGGGTTCGGCCGCCTTGTAGGAGAACCCAGGTGAAAGGTGGTGGGGTTAAATGGGGGGTGCGGGAGAAGTGCACTTCAAGTAAAGGTATCAGCACAAGTGACACAGTTCATGCCTGCAGAACTGGGATGGCAAAGGGGGAAGGAGAGGCAGGTGAGGAGTGAGTAGGGATCTGGGGTGCATGGGTCTATAGGCTGCAGCAAAAATTAGATTTTATTCTAGGTGTGGTGGGAGTCACTGCTATGTTTTAACATTATATGAGGATTATTCTGGCTGCTGAGTGGAGGATGGACTGGGGAGGGAGGCTTTAGTGGAAGTGGAGCCCAGATGAAGAGGTGACTGTGGTCAGAACTTAGGGCTTCAGGAGGAGAGAAGGGCAGGTTTGGAGGAGTCTGCGAGACAGACCCCAGGCTCTAGAGGAGCAGCTCTCAACCAGGGCTCATTATCCCGCCTCCACACTAGGGACATTTAGTAATGTTTGCAGACATTTCTGGTGGTCGCATGGGTAGATGGGAGTGTTACTGGACTCTAGTAGGGTAGAGGCCAGGGATGAAGTTAGAATCACTACACACGCACACACACACATCAAAGAATCATTCAGCCCGAAATGTCAATGGTGCAGAGAAAGCCTCCTGGAGAGCTACCTGGGTGGAAGAGGGAGTGGCAACAAGTGCAGAAGAAATGAGCGCCCCCCCCCAATCCCTTCAGGGCAGCCCTAGGGCTGAGGGGACAGCTGTGCTCTGTGCCAGGACCCTGTGCCCATAGCAGAAGTAGGACTCCTGAGGGGGCGGGCACAGGAGACAAGCCCCAGCTCCTTGTGAGGGAAGACTTTCTCACAGGCAGAGCCCTCCCATAATGAAAGGAGCCATTGCAGGAGAAAGCGAGTGCCCTGTCCAAAGACAATATAAGCTGGAGTTCTGTCCCAGGTGGGTGGCTGGCCACCCGAGTCCCTCTGACTTAGGTTAAGAGACCTCAGTGCTGAGAGGAGGCGGGGCTGGGAAGGGGAGCACAAACCGTAGCGATGCCTGCAGGGCAGCGGAGTAACAACTCCCAGGTGTGAGCGGGAGGGGTCAGTGATGTATCCTGCACTGAGCCATTTCCTGATGCCAGGTCACAGTCCTGGTCACAGCACTTCGCCCCTCCTCAGGCCTTGACCTGTGTAAGCAGTATCTGATCCAGGATGATGACATCCTCGCACGGGAAGCCCAGCTCCCCAGCTGGTCTTCAGCATGAGGTGGAGACAGTTCCTCCCTATGTGAAACATCGCCTGGTTCTCCACCATTAGCTTTTAAGGAAGCCTGTAGAGTGAGTTTAGAAAACTCCAGGGCCCGGAAACAGTTTCCTAATTTTGCTTGAAATTCCACCACTAGACGCTAGTTCATAACATCACAGTTAGAACTGATAGGAGCTCAGAAAGCCACATGCATTTGATGGGGGCGTGCAGAGGCTTATGAAAGAGGGAGAGCTTCCACAGAGTTGGGACTCCCTCCCTGGGACTTCCCCATCTCCTGCCCACCCCAAGGTCCTTGTAGATCCTTTTGGAAGAGTTGAGGGTCTCCCGGGAGCCCATGGGAAAAGGAATCTTCAGGCCACAATCTGACCCCTGCAGGCTCTCAGCCTAGGACCGGCAAAGTAAAAATGTGCGTCATCTGGCCCTCTGCTGGCCACTTGGTGCTATAGGCCTGCAGGGGGCACCAATCCTGAAACAGTGTGCAAATAGGATTTCTGTAAATCAAGTCCAGTGTCTCACCAGGGTCAATATCCTAGAGACTGAGAAACCCAGCTTGAGAGGTTCCTGGCTGGGGAAGAATCAAGAAGGGCAGTGGATAGGAGAGGCAGAGAGCCATCTCAGTATCTTTTTTCTACCAGACCTGCAACTGGCAGCAGCTCCAGGGACAAAGAGCCAGATGCGATCCTTTGTAAACCCTTGAGTGACTGGAAGACAGCCCTCTGGAGAACTTTCGGTTGCAGAGTCCCAGTTCTGTGGAATGGCCTTCAGTGGGCTCCATTACCTTATTGCTGAAAACCTCTCCATTCTCATCCCAGTCGTACCTTTTACTTTAATCACACTGGACATCAGGCTTATTGCTCAAAAGCCATACTGTGGCTAGCTTCCGGGCCTGCACCTGTGCTTTTCCCTTTCTTTCCTTGGTGAACTCAGGATTCAGCTCACAGTGGGAGGTGAGACCACAAAGCCAGAATCCACAAAGCTCTATTAGAGGCCAGAGCCTGCTTAAGGATTCTTTGGCTTGGAAGCTGACATTCACACACACTTTCCAGTGGAAACTCTGACCTTGGTTCAGGAGAACAAGCCCTGACCTGGGAAGAGGAGAGGAAGAGAAGGGAATTCAGAATCTCAAGCTCAGAGGTCTTGGATGGGGACAAAGGACTCTGCCCATGACATGCCTATGGCCCCTTTCCAGACCCAGCAAGCCCTGCTTCTCTTTGATGACGAAATCCTGGGAGGACACACTGCAGAAGAAGCAAACATAGGGGGTGAGGAAGATCACCCCCACTTGGGGCCCTCAAGCACTGCCCACTTGCTCTGCCTTTCAACATCTATCACTCCACATGAGCATGGAAGTCTCTGCCGGCCAACTTTCTACTCTCTGCCCAGCCCCTGACCTACTGCCCTGCCCTGCCCTGTCCTACCTTTGCCCTTTGCCCAGGAGGCCCTGCTTACTAGGGCATTAAGGGCTCCTGCACCCTAGTTCCAGAGCCCCAGGACTATGAGAAGGGAGAAAGCAGGGGCCCTGACTTTGCCAATGAGTGCCCATGACTCGGGTGAGTTGTTTAACCTCTGTGAGCCTGTTTTCTCCACTCCTTCCCCTTTTACCAGCTGGGGACCTAACTCCTGAGGGGCAAGAAGAGGTGGGGCTCCCAAATGGAGTAGGAGAAGTCATGCAGGTGTGAAGGTCAGAGCAACAGGACTCTGGGCTACTAGAGTCCTCTCCAGACCCACAGCCATAGCCAAGCCTCCCCAGAGTCCCCAATGACTCAGAAAAATGATCCTAGTTACTAAATCACTGAGAACCTACAAAGTGCTTTACTCATTGTCTCACTGAATCCACACAACTCAGTGATGTATGTGCCATTGTTTCTACTTTACATATGGGGAAACAGGCTCAGAGAGTCTGTGTATTTCACCCAAGGTCACACAGCTGATATGTGTCAGAACTGGTAGTAGAACCTAGTCTGTCTAGCTCAAGATCATATTCCAAACCTCTTTTCTCTCCCCTGTTTCCAGAAGAGAGCCTACTGTCCCTGCTTGGCATCTCTCTGTGTCCCTCTGCCTGCCCCATCCTATCCCATCTGGCCAATAAACCAACCCTGCCCAGCTATTTACGTTCAAGAATTAGTCTGTCTGTAGTTCAGTAAAGGAGCTAAAGGGTCTGTTTACTCAGGACTGATCTTTGGGTCCAGGGTCAATTGTCCACAATGACCATTAGGTGTCCTGAGTCACAGAGACAGAAATTCAAAAGCACTCAGAGAAGGAGGAATCAGTCGGCTCACTGGGTATATGGGTAAACTGAGGTTCAGAATGGGACAGGGTGCCAGGGCACAAGGCCTTGGCCAAGGACACATAATATACCAGAGTTAAAGGCAGGAGAAAACCTGAGAACCAACTCGGGGCTCTCTCCCCTGCTGCTTTACCCATAGTTAATGCACAAACTTTAAAACCAGTAAAAGAACTTGTATGACCTTGGTCATACTTTTGTCTCTCTCTAGTTATCAGTCTCCTCATCTGATGAAGTAGAGCTAGATGGTCTCTTAGGACCTTGAGTGTATTATCTTCACCCCCAAACCTGGGCTGCTGAGGAGTTTATACCTATAAGATATATATGTGGGCCACGGTATATGTCTCTCAGATCTCCTTCAAATTCTGCACATTTATCAATCCTTATATTGGTTCCACATCCATGCAGATGGCCAGAGAGGAGCTGGACTCTTCCCCATGCCACATAGTGGTGGAAGCCCTGGCTTCTGCCTTCCAGTCCAGTTCTTCTCATTGCTCATAGGACCACACTTTTCCCCATGAGACGTGGGGCCCTGGCCACATCTTACTCAACCCCAGTACTCACCAAGATGGGGAAATAGTCCTTCATGTACTTCCATATGACCCAGTGTCTTAGGATCTAGATGAGCCTGCCCCCCTGCTGTTGCTTCTCTCAGTCGAGGTACCACCAGGTTGCATACAGGACACTAAATAACCAGAGTCTTGTGAACAGGAGGCCTGTGAAGACCACAGTGCAGATCTGGGCTGGGGAGGGAAGCAGCAGCTGTCAGTGGTCAGAGGTGTGACAGAAAGGAGGTGAGACTGCCCAAACTGAGTCTCCCACGTACCTAGCACTAGCTGTCCTGTCCAGCCCTTAGCCCCTGGAAGAAGACATCAGCTTCCAATGCCTTCAAGGAGGAGAGAAGCAGCCAGCCCAATGTCACACTGGAAGCATGGACTTGAACTTAGGTAGGGCGAACTCCAAAACTCGTTTTCCCCACGGCACCAGGCTGCCTTATTCACTCTGGTCTTCCCCTTCCTCCTCCCTCTCTCCAGTAAAGTATAGTCAGCCCTTGAACAGCAAAGCTTTGAACTGCACTGGTCCATTTATATGTAGATTTATTTTTCAATAGATATGTAGAACACTGTAAATGTATATTCTGTTCCTTATAATTTTCTTAATAATATTTTCTTTTTTCAAGCTTAGTTTATCGTAAGAATATAACATATGATACATGTAACATATATGCAAAATACGTGTTAACTGACTGTTTATGTTATTGGCAAGGCTTCTGGTCAACAGTAGGCTATCGGTAGTTAAGTTTTAGAGTTAAAAGTTATACATGGATTTTAGACAGCATGGGGTGGGGATTGGCACCCCTAACTCCTACACTGCTCAAGGGTCAACTGGAGTTTGCTTTTCACCAGGTATTCAATAAATACCTGGTGGACAACTGTCGTATTAACTGTTTCTAGTTTCGATCTTTTGGGATTTTAGAGAAAAAGGAGGCCCTCTTTCTGCCTAGCCCTCCGTCTGTCCACCCTCTAGCCCACCTTTCCAAAGATAAGTCTGACCAGATCCCCCCTCTAATGAAATCCCTTCCATGGCTTTCCCATGACTTCAAGGCACAGCCCGCGCAGCTCATCATGGCAATCAAGCTCTGCGTAGTTGGCCCTACCCACTCCCTGCTCCAGCCTCACCTCACCCACATATACACCCAATGCTTGGGCCACACTAAACTGCTGCGTGTTCCTACAGCTCACTGATCTCTAACAGTTTCTTAGCTTTTGCTCGTGCTGTTTTCTCTGCATGCAATGCTCTTTCCTGGTGAAGAAAAGGAGTCCCCACTTCCCTTCAGTATTGTACCAGAGGTCCTGGCCAGTGCTACAGGGCAAGAAAAATGAATGGACAGCATCAAGATTGGAAAGGAAGAAGCAAAGTGTCTCTCTTCGCAAACACACAACTCAATACATAGACTGTCCTAAGGAATTTATAGAGAAGTTACCAGAAGTTACGTGAATTAAGTAAGGTCATGGGACTTTGGAAAGAACATTTGCATACACGTGGTTGCACATGCATAGAGGATGCAAGGACTCTGCTGATCTGGAGGAAGGAGACAGGGTGCCAGGGGACAAGGGTAGCTCGGAGATTGACTTAAATTTTATTTATTTATTTTTCTCACATTAAAAAAGCTCACGTGAAAAAATAATAAAGATCTCCAGCTAAGGCTCTCTCCTTTAGGCAAAATCAAAAGCCCATGTGGGTAACTCCCACTTTAAGGAAACCAGTTTCAGAGAATAAAAACAAATTGTTAACAGTGGCTACCTGGAGAGTAGGCTTTGGGGGAGTCTTTTACTTTTAAGATAATTATTTTGTTTCAATCTTTTACAATAGAATATATTAGTTTTACAGTCAGAAAGAAAAAGTTTAGGAAAAATACACACAAAGCATTTGTACCACACCAGCCCCCTCATCCTGGCCTCACCCTTTAACTCCTGATAGCAGGCAAAACCCAGACTGTAGTTCACTTAGGAAGAGAGACACTTTCTTTTACTTAATCCTCACAACTTTAAGAGGGAAAAATTTTAAACCCCACTTTATAAGGTCTACAGAGGGTATGCAAATTGGCTAAGCTCACACAGCAAGCTAGTAGGATGAGATCTGGGATCCAACTCATTATTTTGGCTATATCATGCTCCCATTTATTCATTCAAAAAAATATTTATCAACTCCAACTGTTCTAGGAGCTAGAGATGCAGCTGAGAACAAGACGAACTGTTTGAATGGAGTTTATCTTCCTGTGTGAGTGTGTGAGTTATAGAGGAGAGGAAAGGAAATAGACAGTAAAATGTAATCCACTGGGAAAATATTTAGCTCTGGGCCTTGAGTTTTTGGTGACAGGTCCTAGCTGACTTCTCCAGCCACTTTTTTACTACTCTTCTAACTTCAGTGTGAACCAGCTGTTCAATAAGTGTGTAGAGTCTTTACATCTCTACTGGAAGCCCTTACTCTCCTGCCAGCCTTTCAATCTATCTCCTAAATATCTCTTAAAAGGGGCCACTTCTCTCCATCCACTGCTGGCCTCCCGAGACCAGGGCTGGCAATCTTTTTCTTAAAGGGCCACACTTTAAATACTTTAGACTTTGCAGCTCATGAGGCAACTTGGAGGATATTACATAGGCACATAACCATTTTAAATACAATCATTTAAAAATGTTAAAACCATTCTTACCTCATGGACTGTGCAAATACAAAAACAATCAGTTGACCAATGGGCCGTGATTTGGCAACCCCTGATCTAAAGTGTGACTGCTCCATGCCATAGGTCTATTGCCCCACTCCCCAAACACAGTAGATATCTCGACTGCAGCCACAGGGACCTTTAACACTCAGATTGGACCTTGTCACTCCCCTCTTTAAAGCCCTGTTGGGGCTCCCCTTTGCCCCCAGGATAAGGGATAAGGTAAAACCTCCCACTCCTGGAACCAGTGGGTCCAGATCTCTTTTCTCAACTGTTTTCCCTCTAGTCCTCCAGGCCCAGGGTGACTTTGACCTCTTCACTGCTCCTGACATTCCAAGACTCCTGTGCCACAGGTCCACAGGGCTGGGGGTGGGCACGGCCAGTCAGACACACTTTTGCTCACAGAGCTCACATGAGACAAGCAGAGTATGAGGTCCTTTATCCCCTGTGGTCCTAGGCCACAGTCCAGGAGCCAGCACTCGCAGCCTGCTCTGGATATAGACCTCCCTCCCCATTCTTCCTCCACAGCCTCCTAGCCCACACCTCCTCTCATACCTCCTCCCATTCTCTCTGCCTTCTCTCCTCCTTCTGTCTCTTGCTCTCTCGTCTGTTGGCAGTAGGAAAAGCCCAGGACTCTGCATCTACAGCCTTGGACATTTAAGACACCTAGTTTCTCTTCTCATCTGTGTAATGGGCATAACCAGGGATGTTTAAAATGTTTAACAACCCTGAGGTTGGAGACACAGATCAACATAAGGGATGCTAGGGGCAGGGTACTGAAGGACTTGTTTTGCTGGAGGTGAATCTTTGAGCTGCAAAATTGTGAAGAGATTCTAAGAAAGCATCTGGTGTGGTGCGATGTGGTGTGTTGTGGTGTTGTGTGTATATCTGTGTGGTGGTGGTGGTGGTGGTGGTGTGTGTGTGTGTGTGTGTTTGTGTGATTGCTATTGACCAACCTGTACAGAGTACATCTATATTTTAGTACCAGGACTGTGGCCTTCGGTTACAGGCTGAACACTAGCTATGGGGGTAGCAGTTTCTACCAGGTCTGGTGTCAACAGATGAAATGAAGACTCTGCATACTCCACTCACTCTCTCTCCCAATCCTCAGGCCTGAGCCCTCCTCGAAAACATTTCCATCAGCAAAGCTGGAGTTTGGGCAAGTGTGGCCGCCCCAGCCACAACTGATGTGTTCACTGTCAGGGTGAGGGAGGTAAGGGGACCCTCTTACGCAATCCCAGCCCAGGCCCCAAGACAGGGCAGAGTAAGCACATCTCTTCATTTTACCCCATGACAGCTCTATAAAGTCAAGATTGTCAGTCCCATTCTGCAGATGATGAAATAAAGGCCTGGAGAGGTCAGGCATGGGTCCACCAAGGTCAAACAGCTGGTCAGTTGCCCAGCTGAAGTCTGACCTAGGTTTGCCTGGTAACCCACTCACTCCTCACTCTACTTTCAGCCTGTACCTTCTCTCCCCTTCCTGTTCTTTCCCTGTTCCCCTCTCTTTTCCCGACTCCCTCCTCCCACCCCCACTACCTCTGTTTCTTCCTCTCTGAAAGGAAGAAAATCCATCCATCTCCTCTGAACGGCCTGAGGAGCCTGGAACTTTCCCACAGTTGCCTAGATCCTTCTCCACACCACAGGCAGCCTGAGGTGGGGGCTCTGTCTTAGTACTCAGGTAGAACACACAGCCCAGGAAAGCTAAGTAACCTGCCCAAAGGCACAGGTGGTGACTTCTACTCCACCTTAACCCACACCTGATGACACCCTCCAAAGGCCTCTGGTCAGGGGCTCTGAGCACAGCAAAGCACCCTTCAGTACCAGGTGCCCACGGTCTCCCTGAACCCCAGTCCAGCACCCCCTTACCCAGGACCAAGAAAGAGAAGATCCATTGCAGGACCACGAGGGTCTGCAGCCTGCGCTACCATGGCACGAACAAAGACGCAAACTTCACCATGTTGGTTCTTCTGCCAGTGCTGGAGGCTTCTCTGGGCACTGCTGTGGTCAGAGGCATCCACTGGTTTCTGTTGTAGGTGGAGGTTGTGTAAGCAACCTGTGGGTAGGGGAAGAAGGTGATTTGCCCAGCCTAGCCACAATGCCTCCCTGTCCCTTCCCAGGTAGGGACTTGTTTCCTAGGAGAAACCTTTGAATCCACCTGTCCTGGGCCCAGCTGAAAATAAGAAGGAATAGAAGGAAGTATACAGCCCTTATCTAGGGCAGTTGCCTTCTTCGGCTATGACTTATCTGTGAGATCATTTTTCACTAATCGCTTGGATCTTGCCCTTCACTTAGCAGGTAAAGTCTCAAGTTTAATACAATCTTGTCCTCTTCCCACCCGCCCAATGACCTGGCTCCAATAATTGTCTCCTCTCTCTCCTGCCATGTCCATTGCTCCCCCTCCACAAATATGCGGTAATAGCTCCCATCTAAAAATCCTTTGGCCCCACAAGCTAGCTCCTCCGCCTCCTGCCCTATTGTACAGAAGAACTTGGAAGAGCTGTCTGCATTCCACACCTTGGCCTCCCATCCTGTCCTCTGTGACTCTATACCTCAGATGCCACTGTTCCACAGAACTGCCCTTGATAGATGCACCAATGGCCTCCATGTTGCTAAATCCAGTGGTCAATTTTGACCTCATCTTGACCTCTCAGCTGCCTTAGACCTGGTGGACCACTTCCTTCTTCTTGAAACTACTTGGCCTATGGACATCATACTCTCTAATTTCCTTCCTGCTTCTCTGGCTTCTCCTTGGTCTCCTTTATGCTTATCCTTTACTAGGTTCTTATCCTTTACTAGATTAAATGTTTGAGTTTTCTCCTGTCCTTCTTGGACCTTTTCTCTTCTCTTCACACTCACTCTCTTAGAGATCTCATCCAGGCTTACACAGTGAAGACTTCTAAATCTGTATCTTCAGCTCTGACTTCCCCTTGGGACTCCAGACTTGAATATCTAGATGACTACTTCACATCTTCACTTGAAAGCATGCTTGGCCCCTCCATCACAACATGTTTAAAACTATACTTGATTTCTACTCACCTGCCCACTCTGGCCATTCCTCGGCCCTTAGCCATCTCAGTAAAGAGTAACTCCACTGACCAGTTTCCTCGGGCCAAAACCTTAGCGTCACACTACACTCTCTCTGTCCTTCTTCATCCACGTCCATCAGTCAATTCTCCTAAATCTCTCCTTTTAAGTGTACATTTTAAATTGAAATATATCAAACGTACAGTGAAATGCATAAATCCTAAGTGCACAGAGTGATGCATTTGCACAAAGTGGACATACTCATGTAACTACCACTCTCAACAAATAGAAGCTGACTGGCTTCCCTGTGTCCTTGCCAGTCACTCTTCTCCTCCTGTGGCTCACCACTATCCTCATCTCTGCTTCTGAATTTTGTAAAAAGTGAACCTTACACTATGTACTCTTCGGGACTGGCTTCATGGCTCAAGAGTATATTTTTTGAAAGTCATCCCAAATTGTGTGTATTTGTGGTAATTTTGTTTTCATTGCCATATGGATTTCATTGTGTGAATATGCCACAACTTATCCATTTTGCTGCTGAGAAGCATTTGGCTTGTTTCCTGTTCTGGCTGTTATGAACCGTGTTGGTATGGGCATTTTCCTCTCTAGTTTTATTGAGAAACTATTGGCATACATGGCTGTATAAGTTTAAGATGTATAAAATGATTATTTGATTTACATATATTGTGAAATGATTACCATAATGGGGTTAGTTAATATCCATTATCTCATGTAGATATGATAAAAAGAAAAGAAAAAAATTCTCCTGGTGATGAGAACACTCAGGACCCACTTTCTTAACAACTTTCCTGTCTATCGCACAGCAGTTTGGGCAGTTTGCACCTGTTTTTTGGTGCATGTGTTTATACATTTCTGTTGGGTGTGTTCTGGGAGCAGAATCGCTGGGCCTTCTGGTATAAAGGCGTATAGCTTTCCAAAGTGTATAGCATATATACACTTGCACAAGCCTTGTGTAAGAATTCTGGTCGCTCTACATCCTCCTCTGCAGTTTAATCACTTTAGTGAATGTGTAGAGGTACTTACTTCATTATGGTTTATAGTATTTTTCTAACAGCTTATGAGGGTGAACACATTTTAATGTGTTTATTGGCCATTTGGATATCACTTTCTGTGAAGCTCTTGTTCTAGTCTTTTGTTGACTTTAATATCTCTTGCATTGGAAAGCTGCTTTCCATTCCCACAGCCAGTCTCTCTGACTCTGTCATGGGCTATCTTACTGGTCTCTCTGTCATTATGCCCGTTCTCCCTCTCAGTTTCAACATAGCTGGGCCAAAGAGCATGTGAATGCTCAAGCTTGGGATTAGGGCCAAGCTGTTTTCCAAAAGAGTAGCACCAAATTGCACTCCCACCAGAAATATATGAGAGATCTCATAGATGCATGTCCTCTCTGATTCTTGGTTAGACTTCTTATTTTTTGCTAGTGTATAAAGTGATATCTTGTTGTGGTCTTGATTTGCATTTCCTGATTAAAAATGCTAAATGGGTCTTTATTCACAGGCATTTCCTCTTCTGTGAAAAGCTTGTTCTTAATTTTTGTCCATTTCTCTACAGTGTTTAAACTTTTTGTTTGAATTTGATGTTTTTTTATGCAGTCATGATACTAATCTTTTGTTGGTTCTGTATATTGTGAATCTTCTCCCAATTTTTAACTTAACTTTTAAGATGTCATTGGATAGTTATTTTTAATTTTAATCCATTCATATTTATCTGTCTTTTATTAAATAGACATTGCTTGGTCTGATTTAGAAAATCTTTTCTTACCTATATTTTCCATTAAGAATGTAAAGTTTTAAACAGAAAACAAACTCATAGATACAGACTACAAAATGTGGTTACCAGAGGGAAAGGAGTGTGGAGGAAGGATGAAGAGGGTTAAGGGGTCAAATATATGGTAACAAAAGGAAACTAGGCATCAGGTAGTGAAGACACAATTTAGTGTACAGATCTCATACTATAATGTTGTACATGTAAACTTTATATAATGTTATTAACCAATGTTACCCCAACAAATTTAATTTAAAAAATAATACATATCAAAAATAACCAATGTTACCCCAACAAACTTAATTTAAAAAATAATACATATCAAAACATTTATTTATTTATTTATTTTGGGGGGCGGGGCAAGGCAATCCTTGGTTGACCTCACTGATTGCAAGGACCTTGTCAGCTTACAATTCCTTATTTATTTATTTTTTACACCTACAGCACCTGGTCTTCCTAGGTGGTCTCCCATCCAAGTACTAACCAGGCCCGACCCTGCTTAGCTTCCAAGATCAGACAGGATCGGGCTTGTTCAGGCTAGTATGACCATAGACACACACAAAAAATTTAAGTTTTGTTTTTCATATGTAAGTTTTTAATTCATCTGGATTTTTATGTAGTATAAGTTAAGTTCCAGTTTTATCTTTCAATATATAGATAATTATTTTTTTCACAAGCCGATATATCAAACACTCCTCCCTTCCCCCAATGATGTAATGTGCCACCTCTGTCATACAACAGATTTCTACACATACATGGCCTATGTCAGGGCTTTTATTCTTTCTCATCAGTCAATTTATCTATCTCTACCAGTGCCACACCATTTTAATTATTTTGTTCTAATATCTGAAAGGGTAAGCTTCTCTGCCTTTCTATCTTAGAAGTGTCCAGGCTTTACTTAACCCTTTACTCTTCCATGACATTTTAGAATCATGTTAACAAATTCCAAAAAAACCTCTCTTGGGATGTTGGAATTCATAAAATATTGAATCCATAATTGATTTTGAGGAAATGGACATGTGAATAAAAATAAAAGTAAGACTAAATTCCCAGGTCATAATATCTAGCAAAAGAGCAACAAAGAAACCTAAAAGAAAGAACAAGGAAGAAAAAATAAAAATAAAAGCAAGACTTAATGAGAAAGAGAATAGAGCTAATTAATAAATTAAAATTTTGGTTTTCTAAAAAAGTCAGTGAAATTAACAATTAGCTAATGTAATAAAGACTAAAGGGACAAATGACACAAACAAAATAAGAAGGGACAATGGAGAAATAATTATAACAAAAGATATTTTAAAAATCAAAAGAAACTACAGATAGTCCTCAACTTATGATGGTTTAACTTATAGTTTTTTGATTATGATGGGGCAAAAGCGATATACATAATAAATTACTTGAGTTATTCAACACTTTATTATAAAATTGGCTTTGTGTTAGATAATTTTGTCCAACTGCAGGTTAATGTGAGTGTTCTGAGCAAATTAAAGGCAGGCTAGGCTTAGCTATGACATTTGGTAAGTTAGATGCATTAAATATGTTAACTTACAATAGTGTCAATTTAGGATGAGTTTATCAAGACGTAAACCATCATAAGTCGAGAAGCATCTATACTTTGCAAACTTCAATTTACATAAATTTGCATTTTTAGATGAAATTGAGAGTTTCCTAGGAAAATACAATTTACCAAACTGATCCAGTTAAAGATAGAAAACTTAACTTTGTGTTAGATAATTTTGTCCAACTGCAGGTTAAATTAAAGATAGAAAACTTAGATTAGTTTCCACAGAAGAGAAAATTATCAAGGAATTTCCCCACAAAAAAAGCACCAGGCTTTTTTGGTAAACAGGAGAAGTTTACTAAATCTGTAGAGACTAGATAGCTCCAATGCTCCATAAATTGTTTTACAGCTTTTAAAATGAAGAAAAACTTCTGTAATGCAAGAGCTCCAGGCCTGGAACTTGCACCTGGGTTTGGATATTCCGGAAGAACCACCAGGAGGACCAGAAAGGTGAGAAATGCCATTTATTACTCACAAGGCAGGAAAGCTTCAGCAGTGGCTGGTCAGCTGGTCAAAGCTGACAGTATAAAGCCTACTGACCAAGACCAAGCAGAGTTTTTATGCACACAAGCAGAGAGAGGAGTTATCTC